CTATTCTCATACAATCCCGAGCAGGCGACCTATTGCATGCTGCAGACATCCAGACCCGGCGACTACACCGACCGGAATGTGACTCTGGGCTCCGGCCCACTTATGGCTGGAGTGCAATCTTCTGGGAGTCACTTACTCACTACTTATATTCTACTCATTTAACACTTTATTAACTTATCCACAACAATCTGGCCTTCCACGCCTTATATTATTCACTAGCTTATAACTATTGGGATACGTTCTATCTTCTATTATCCCATCGGACTACTTCGTATCCCACACTGTTGACCCCGACCCCTCTATATCCCAAACCATTAAATACAGTCCACGTATAGACCCATGCGGCAGACAGCTGTCCCTGTAATTTGTATTAGGCGCCTACGCTGCACACAGATATGCAAAGTGACCACACCACAACAACCAGTCACCCAAATCAACCCCATGTAAATTAAACATGAAGCGTCTTTCAGTATCTCGTGGATAGTTTAGGTGGAAGGCAACTCGGGAAGACGGGTGCCTGCAAACGGCGGTTTGTGTAGGTTTCCATACAAAGACTCTGCCAGACTTCTATACTATTCTACAGAAACGTCCTCCTTAGGTAGTTGGCCACAGTTCTGACACCAAGACTGTACGAACAAAGACATCAGTGTGCTCATTTCTGGCTGATTTGCCGCCATCAATCGATCTTAACATAAACCCGAACTCTGACCACGCTGTTGAGGTTCGAAGCTAACTAAATGCAGAAAATGCAGTCTGGAGTTTAAACATTTTCCATCCTATCGCCCATTCTGTTCAACCACGTTATTAATTGGATAATCGGAAAAGCCGTACGCCAAGATGCTGAGAGTGCGTTTTTCGAAACGCACTTTTCAGCGTCTCCTCCTGTTTCATCGCCGGGTGTCCAGTAACGTTGCTTGTTGATGGTTCTGTTACTTCTTCCGCTGACAAATAGTTTCAGGCACTACCTTCCTTCCACGATTATGTGCTACAGTCGGATTCTTCAGATGAATAACTGCAAGAAGAGTCAAGAGAGTTTGACAGTCCAGCCATTCCCCTTAGTTCTTGCTCAATTTTACGTATGTTTCAGATATCCGCGCAACGCACGTCTTCTTAAAGTTCGCTTTGGTGGCGGCTTCCTCATGCTGAAGAAAACGGCAAAAAACAACAGACTTACCGGATTTGCAGTCGCAGCAACGAGAGCTCGCATGCAGGTGTTATCAGCAGATTGCGCCACGTCACAATGGCGCCACTGTCACAC